AGTGTCAGGGCTTCTCTCCTTTTCAGGGCTGAGTAATATTCCAGTCTGTTGAGAGGTGACATTTATCCTTTCAGCGGTGTATAGACTTTGGTATGGTTTCCTAGTGGCCTTTGGGAATAAACTCAGTTCTGTTTACAAATGGAGTTTATTTAGAAGGAAGACACTGAGTAATAATGTTGTGGGGCCTATGGCACTGTGAGCCATGGAGGGTCCTTTGGGCAGAGTGGCAAGCTGGGTGCTTGGACTGTGTCTGCCCTGCTTTGTTGTGTGAGCTTGCCTAGGTCCCTTCCCCTCTCTGGGCCTCAAGTTTCCCCACTTTAACTTGATTTCTTTTCTTACATCCTTGGGTGGGGGCTGTGGGTGCCCTCCATTTTTACATTTGCAGAGGGGAAGGTTGGTCCCCCTCCAGACCTTCTCTGTCGGCCTCCTGGGGCGACTGTAACAAATGACCACAAACTGGGCAATGAAAACCACAGGAATGTTTTCTCTCCTGGTTCTGGAGGTCCAAGATCAAGGTGCTGGTGGGCTGGTTTCTTCTGGGGCTCTGAGCAGAACCTCTAAGTTTCAGGGGGCTACAGGCCCCAGCCCTTCCCCCCTGCATCTGTGTCTCAGGCCCCCTCCCCACCCGCCATTCTCCTGTGAGGACGTCGGTCACTGGGTTAAGGACCCGTCCTGAATCCAGGACTGTCTCATCTTGACGTCCTGCGCCTGGCTGTATCTGCAGAGACTCTGTTCCACTAAGGCTTTGCTCACCGGTTCTGGGGGTGGAGACGTGGGCAAGCCCTCCTGTGGATCACTGGCCATATTCCACAGCTGGTCTCCGCGAGTCTAGGATTCTGGATCAGAGGTCATGCTGCCTGGCAGCCTCAAGGCTGAATTTGACCTCTGTCTTCTTTTTCTCTCTTCTATTTAAAAATAAGAATTTCTTTAAAAAGAGATAAAGAAGAAAATAAAAGTTCTTTAAAACTTAAAAAAATTTATTTATGGCTGTGCTGGGCCTTTGTTGCTGCACATGGGCTTTCTCTAGTTGCGGTGAGAGGAGGCTACTTTCTAGTTGTGGTCCACAGGCTTCTCACTGCAGTGGCTTCTCTCATTGCAGAGCATGGGCTCGAGAGTGCAGGCTCAGTAGTTGTGGCGCTCTGGCTTAGTCACTGCCTGTCATGTGGGATCCTCCCGGACCAGGGAAGGAACCTGCATCTTCTGCACTGGCAGGTGGATTCTTACCCACTGGACCACCAGGGAAGTCTTAAGAATAAAAATTTCTTGTCATCATTTACAAATTGGGGCATTTCAGGCAAAAGCCCTGGATTCCAGGGGGCCTGGCCCCAAGTGTGTAGTTTGCTGCAGTCTCACCACTTCCTCACAGCACCATAATTCAAAAGCATCAGTTGTGTCTTTGGACTGCAAGAAGATCAAACCAGTCCATCCTAAAGGAAATCAACCCTCAATATTCATTGTGCATCTGTGTCTCAGGCCCCCTCCCCACCCGCCATTCTCCTGTGAGGACGTCGGTCACTGGGTTAAGGACCCGTCCTGAATCCAGGACTGTCTCATCTTGACGTCCTGCGCCTGGCTGTATCTGCAGAGACTCAGTTCCACTAAGGCTTTGCTCACCGGTTCTGGGGGTGGAGACGTGGGCAAGCCCTCCTGTGGATCACTGGCCATATTCCACAGCTGGTCTCCGCGAGTCTAGGATTCTGGATCAGAGGTCATGCTGCCTGGCAACCTCAAGGCTGAATTTGACCTCTGTCTTCTTTTTCTCTCTTCTATTTAAAAATAAGAATTTCTTTAAAAAGAGATAAAGAAGAAAATAAAAGTTCTTTAAAACTTAAAAAAATTTATTTATGGCTGTGCTGGGCCTTTGTTGCTGCACATGGGCTTTCTCTAGTTGCGGTGAGAGGAGGCTACTTTCTAGTTGTGGTCCACAGGCTTCTCACTGCAGTGGCTTCTCTCATTGCAGAGCATGGGCTCTAGAGTGCAGGCTCAGTAGTTGTGGCGCTCTGGCTTAGTCACTGCCTGTCATGTGGGATCCTCCTGGACCAGGGAAGGAACCTGCATCTTCTGCACTGGCAGGTGGATTCTTACCCACTGGACCACCAGGGAAGTCTTAAGAATAAAAATTTCTTGTCATCATTTACAAATTGGGGCATTTCAGGCAAAAGCCCTGGATTCCAGGGGGCCTGGCCCCAAGTGTGTAGTTTGCTGCAGTCTCACCACTTCCTCACAGCACCATAATTCAAAAGCATCAGTTGTGTCTTTGGACTGCAAGAAGATCAAACCAGTCCATCCTAAAGGAAATCAACCCTCAATATTCATTGGAAGGACTGATGCTGAAGCTCCAATACTTTGGCCTCCTGATGCAAAGAGCCAGCTCATTGGAAAAGACCCTGATGCTGGGAAAGATTAAAGGCAGGAGGAAAAGGGGATGACAGAGGATGAGATGGTTGGATGGCATCACCAACTGGATGGACATGAATTTGAGCAAACTCTGGGAGATGGTGAAAGATAGGGAAGCCTGGCGTGCTGCAGTCCATAGGGTTGCAAAGAGTCAGACACAACTTACTGACTGAATAACAACACTGTTTGTATGGTTGGTGACACTCTGTGCGACACTCTGGGTGACACTCTGGGTGACACTGCAGGTGATTCTGGAGCCCAGAATGTGGGTTCAGATTCTGCCCTTGCAGCCTACAAGTAGTGACTCTGAGCAGGTTGCCTCATGTCCTTGGGGCTCTATCTCCTGGGGGTGGTTTGTCATTGTATCATGGGGGTTCAGGTGAAGTGAGCTTGGATCAGGCCTGCATGTGACAAGTGACTTACCAGCGTCATCACTGCCTGGCGCTCCCTTAGCCTCCTCCTCGCCTTCCATGCCCTTGTGGTCTGCTCTCTGTCCTCCGGGATGGGACCCCTAGCCCATCTCCTCTCCTGAACAACTGAGTTGTGTCCCCACTTCATCCAGGGAGGGGCTGGGGAATGGGAGGATTTCAGCCACATTTCAGCTGCAGAGCCAGGGTGGGCTGCACACTAGTTGGGGGTTGGTAGTTAGACCCCTCACCCTGGGGCCCTGCTGGACTGACACCCCCTCAGATGCGTGCTCTGTTAGAGGGTTGTTCACGTGGTGATGGGCTCCATGTCAGCTGGGGAGATGGGGTAGGCCACCTTATCTCGTCATCAGGCAGGTCAGCCTGGCAGGGTTGCAGGGCCCCAGAAGCAGTGGGGGAGCAAGCGACAGGTGCCTTTCCAGCCTCTGCTTCCATCTAGGCCAGCCCAGGACCTGGATGGGGGATGGGAGGAGCTAGTGGCTGTTTTTACACTTGTGCACTCTTTCCTGGCCCCCTTGTCCACACAAAAGGCACTCACTGAGCTCTAATTGCCACATTGCTCCTGTCACTTGATGCCGTATTGTAGAGATATTTGCATATAAATGTATTAAAATTTTGTTTCCTTTTACAACTTTAAGCTCTTCCATTCCCAGCACCATGGTTTGTTTAGTTGAGCAAAAATGCAGGCTGCCCGGTTAAATGTAAAGTTCTCATAAGCATGGATAATGGCCTAAGCACATCTCATGCATTATTTGGGACATATTACACTAAGAAAATATTCGTTGTTTGTTGGAAATGCCAACCTTGGCCTCCTGGGTTGGACCTTGCAACCCTAAATGTGTCAAGTTTTGGGGTGTCTAAAACTCCTTACTTACTCCTTCAGTGTTGTAGCTCCCACAGGAAGGGAGGGGCAGGTTGGGGCTGGTGGGAATTCAGAACAGCATCAGGTGTCAGGACCAGACAGGTGGCTGGCACCCTGGGACCAACCCAGGAGGGGCAAAGCGAGTCGGTGGGCACTCTGGCCACCCTGCACTGGGCTTCAGAGTCAAGAGTAACTGGGGGCCAATACCAGCCCACTGGAGCCCTGGGGAAATGGGTGGAGTGTGTGCCCCCACACAGCTGCTTGTACCCACATCTGGAGCCCAGGGGCTGGTGCTTCTGTGAGATAAAGTCCTAGAAATGGAGTTTCAAGGTCAAAATGTGTGTGCGTGAATCGTTTTTTAAAGGTTGAGGTACAATCACGTAACTAAATTAACCATGAGTCATTTTAGAGCACAGTTCAGTGCTATTTAGTACCTTCACAAGGTTGTACAATCACCACCTCTATCTGTTCTGGAATATTCCATCACCCCAAAGGAAGTCCGTCCCCATTATCAGTGATCCTACCCCTTCCCTCCCCAACCCCTGACAACCAGGAACCCACTCTTTGTCCCTGCGGGCCTGCCCGTCCTGGACGTTTCCCATCCACGTGCTCATGTGACAGTTGCTGCATGTGGCCAGCCCAGGTCCCTCCTGCAGTGCCGACACCATGTTGGGGGCGCTGGTGGCCCTCATCTCTGGTACCCCTGCCCCAGCTGCCCCTGAGCAATATCTCTTGGAGATTCTGAGTTCCCTTCCATGGAAAGGGTGGTTCAGGCAGGAGTCAGCATTCCCCCCTGCAAAGGGCCAGACAACTTCCACCCACCATCTGCTCGCAGGCCCTGCTCTGGGCCCTGGGATGCAGAAGTAAGCAGGGTTATCCCCACACGGTCCTCCTGGGCTGGCATTCTAGTGGAGCAGAAAGAGAATGAGCAGGAGAGACTGAGTTGAAGGAATCTGCCAGCTTCCAGGAAACAACTCACAGTCAAGAGGGTGGCTCTGAGGAGGCAACCAGGAGCCTGGAGCTGGGGAAGGAGCCAGGCTGCAAATAGATAGGATGGTGTGGGGGCGGCAGGTGCAAAGGCCCTGTGGTGGCCAGGTTGGGCATGGTCCTAAGGATGAGGGTGGGGGCTATAGCTGGGTGGTGGGAGGGGAGGGTTGTGGGCTCACTGGAGGGGGTCTTGGGTCCACAGTGGGCCCCCAGCCCCAGGTGGCAGGAGTGGAGGCCATCGGGGGGGCTCTCTGGAGGGGGCTTGGGTCCACGGTGGCCCCCAGCTGGGCTCTGCGGGGCTGGTGCTGACCTGTGCTCTCTCCCCTCAGTACATGGGCTGCATCGAGGTGCTCCGTTCCATGCGCTCCCTGGACTTCAGCACACGCACCCAGGTCACCAGGTGAGGCTGGCTGGGGCAGGGTCTGGCGCTGCTCAGTGCCAGGAGTGGAGGCGGTGGTGCTGTGTACTATGTGCTCGGTCGTTCAGTCATGTCTGACTCTTTGAGACCCCATGGACTGTAGCCTGCCAGGCTCCTCTGTCCACCTGATCCTCCAGGCAAGGATACTGGAATGGGTTGTCATGCCCTCCTCCAGGGGATCTTCCTGACCCAAGGATTGAACTCAGGTCTCTTGCATCTCCTGCATTGGTAGTGCCACTAGTGTCATTGCTTTACCACTGGTGCCACCCTGGAAGCCCTGTGCAACCATGACCATGGTCTAATTCCATAACATTCCATCACCCCGAAAGGAAACCCTGCCCCTATGAGCAGCCTTCCCCAAACCCCTCCCCCAACCCCTGACAATCAGGAACCCACCCTCTCTGTGTGTGGATTTGCCTGTTCTGGATCTTTCCCATTGATGGTATCACATATTGTGTGTCCTTCTGTGTCTGCTTCTCTCACTGAGCATCTTGTTCTCAGGATCCATCCAGGTGGTAGGGAGTGTTGGGGCTTCTCTCCTTTTCAGGGCTGCGTGATGCTCCCATGTGTAGGAGGGACCATGGATTGTTTGTCCATCTTCAGCTGATGGGTGGTTTCTACCTGTTGGGCTGTTGTGAGTTGTGCTCTGTGGCCATGTATGCAGGTTTTTGTGCACCTGTGTTTTTAGTTCTCCTGAGTGTGCACCTGGGGATGGGATTGCCTTACCCATTTTGAGAAGCTACTGCTCCATTTGACCTTCCCACCTGTCAGGCTGAGGACTTGGTTTCCCCTCGCAGCACCGATGTTAAGAACTTGTGTGTCCACCTGACCTTCAGGATTCTGTAAAAGTTCCAGTCCCTCCCCAGGGATGAGCCGTTTCACAAAGTCTCTCCCATTCGGTTTGGGGGGTCAGTTTCGGCCCCTGTCTTGGGGGGCCCAGAGCAGAGGGCAGCCTTTCATGCCTCAGGTGGGAATCTTGGCCAGCCTGTGGTCACACAGAACTTGGGGTCCAGGCTCAAGGTTTGTGCCAGCATCCCCAAATCTGATCCCAGTGCCTTCAAGTGGGCTGTGGCTCAGGGGTCCACTGGTCTCTGAGAAAGAAAGGGCAGGAGGGGGAGAGCTGAGGGCAAGGGCACCTGCCGGGCACATGGGGTGGGCGTCTGGGAGCCTGGGAGTCCCCTTCTAGGCCACCAGTTGCACCAGCATCCCTCTGTCCTCTGAGCCCCTCCCCACTCAGGATGCACCGCACCCCTTCCTCAGCCCATTGCCTTCTCTGAGTTTACTCTTCTATGAGCTCCTGCCCCCTCTCCTCCAAGCTCTCTAAGCGCCCTCCCCCTCCGCCCACACAGGGAAGCCATCAACCGGCTCCATGAGGCGGTGCCTGGCGTCCGGGGCTCCTGGAAGAAAAAGGTGGGTGAGGGGCCTGTAGTCCCCGGGTGGAAGTAGGGGGGAGACACCTGGCCATCCCAGGACCTGCCCCAGCTGGCGTTCCACTGTGGTCCCACCTTTTTGAAACCCATGCTTCCCCAGGCCCCCAACAAGGCCCTGGCCTCAATCTTGGGCAAGAGCAACCTGCGCTTCGCGGGCATGAGCATTGCGGTCAGCATCTCCATAGACGGCCTCAACCTCTCGGTGCCCGCCACGCGCCAGGTGAGCGCTGCCCGCCCCGCCCTCGGCCTCCTCCAGCCCCGCCCTCGGCCTCCTCCAGCCCCGCCCTCGGCCTCCTCCAGCCCCGCCCTCAGCCTCCTCCAGCCCCGCCCTCAGACCCAGCCAGCCCCAAGTAGGGCCTGGCTGAGGGTCTGTGGATTCACCCAGGTGAAGCCCGGAGGGAAGGTGGGCGCGGCCCACTCGACTTGCAAGTGCGGGTAAACTGCTCACCTGGACACTTGCTGAGGCCCCGCCCTGGGCCAGGGGCCGCTGCCCTCACGTCGCCCCACGGTTGTCACACCGGGGCGACGAGTGGGCGGGGCCAGGGGCGCTGCTCCTCACTCCACAGCTCTTAGGACGGCCTCCCAAAGAAGGTCTCGCTCCCATTGTCTGCATTGCTGAGGAGGCGGGACCGAGGCTTGGAATCTTCTGGTGGAAACAAACAACCAAAATAAAATTGCAGAAAGGAGGGAATAACTATGAATTCTGAGGAGGATTGTGAGTCCAGGCATAGGTTGTGAGCACTGTGACCTAGCAGGGGCATCACGGAGGGCTTCTTGGAGGTGGTGATGCTGGCGCTGAGTGGGGAGGTGAGAGGACATTGAGCAGAGGTCACCTGATGAGATAGAGCTGGAGAGGTTAGCAAGGATCTTGGTGAGGAACTGGGATTTTTCCAGACAGCACTGCTATCCTCATCAGAAGTTTGGGGCTGTGATTTGTGGTCTGGTGTGAGCATGGGAAGCATGGAGGAGGTGAGCTGAAGCCAGGGCCCCAGGGAGGGGGCTCAGACTGCCTCTGGGGAGGAAGCTGTGGGGCGGGGAGCTGCCAGCACGTTCACCTCCCTGTCCACCTCTGCAGGGACTCTATCTGGAACACACTGGGCTAACTCTGAGCAGGATGCCAGTGAGGGCCTCCCTGGGCAGGGGTTGGTTAGGGGGAGCCCTGAGTATCCCCGAGGGGTGACAGGCTGAGTGAACCATGGGGGACCCTGAGAGAGCCCTGCTTGGGTGTCTCTGGTGCTTACTGGGTCTTGGAGGGATATGACCTCTTAGGGCAGCTTTGGGTGGTGGTGAATAGATGCTATTGAGCACGCAAGTGAGCACATCGACACAAACAAACATGCAATTAAGCATATAGGCACACTCATGCAAATGAGCACACCGATTAGCAGATGTTGCAAATGAAGTTGCAGATAAGCCAATGGATGTAAGTGAGCCCACAGGTGAGGCTGCCCGGGTTGACAGTGCAGAGTCAGGAACCTCCAGTGGGTCCTGCTTTTGTCTCCTTAGTGCCTCCACGGTGGCATGGGGCACGTGTCTGAATGTGAGAGTGGTGAGTGTCTGGGTGTGCATGTGCTGTGCCTGGGTGTCTGTGTGGGAGGGTGTGAGGGCCAACGTGTGATGCATCAAGGTGTGAAGGTGGGCTGGAGTGTGAGTGAGTTAGTGGTGGTGTCTCTGAACAGCTGGAGTGGGGAATTTGTGAGTGTGTGAGTGGTGGTGTCTCTGAACAGCTGGAGTGGGGAATTTGTGTGTGTGTGTCTGTAAACGAAGGGGTGTGTGTGTGTGTGCAGGGTGTGGTTTGTGTGAGGCTTTAAGCCCATGTACCTTTGTATGTATCTGTATCGGATTTCTGTGCCCATGTGTGCACGTGTCCACCAGTTGGGGCAGGTTTGTCTTCCTGTGTATTTGGGCGTGTGACTGTAGGTCTCTGCATCCTGCCCTGGCTTCAGGGCTCCCCATCCAGAGGGGCTTTTGGTCATCCTGGCATTCTGTCGAGGGGACATCTCCACTTCCACGCCCTTGTCCTTCTGGTCCCCACTGTGGCCTTGGTCTAGTGACTGGCCCAAGCCCCTCTCTCCTCCCCCAACTGAAATGGCAGCCCCATGATTGGCGGTCTCTCTCTGGCCAGATCATCGCCAATCACCACATGCAGTCCATCTCCTTTGCGTCCGGTGGTGACACGGTAAGACCCCAGATGGCTGGGGGCGGACTTCCAGCCCCTCTGTCCCCAAAAGCCCCGAGATGCCCTGCCCGTGCCCATCAGTCCCACCCCATGTTGCTGGGACTCCTGTGTCCGCTACCCTCTCTCTCCAGGATATGGCGGATTATGTGGCCTACGTGGCTAAGGACCCCATCAACCAGAGAGGTGAGGCCAGTGGGGGCGGGTGGGGCCGTGGGCTGGATCCGCAGCCAGTCGAGACCCCGCTGATGCTGCCTGACGACCCCCAGCCTGTCACATCCTGGAGTGCTGTGAGGGCCTTGCCCAGAGCGTCATCAGCACCGTGGGCCAAGCCTTTGAGCTGCGCTTCAAACAGTACCTGCATAGCCCCCCCAGGGTCGTCGTCCCCCCGGAAAGGTACTGGCCTGACCCTCTATCCCCATTCCCCAGTACCCCTGCTGGCCCTGCCCCTCCCCTTCCCTGGGGTTGGATCCTTGCCCCCTTCCTGCTCTGTGCCCCCCACCTCCATGGCCCACTGCTCAACCATGAGGATCCTAGGATAACAACATCTCCAGTCCTAGCAGAGGTGAGGACTCAGGGAGCCGATCGGCAGGCAGTGACCAACATGCTGTCATCCTTAGTCTGCATGGGGGTGGCCGGCACTTCTGCAAAGGGCCAGACTGCCTGCCTGCCTCTGCCGTGGTAGCGGGAAGGCAGCCAAGAAGGACGTGTGAGCAGTCAGTGGGCCGCCTGCCAGCCAATCTTTATTTATGGACACAAACATCTGAATTCCATCTGACTTTCACGTGTCAGATGCAGTTCTTCTGATGTTCTCTTAACCATCTGACAGTTCTGTGGCTTAACAAGGTAGAAGTCATCCTGAGCTCCTGGCTGGCAAATTCAGGCAGTGGCCTGTGATAGGCTATTTAAATATCTGAACAGATGGGAACTGGTTAGAGTAGCAAGTGAATGAATGGACATGTTAACAGAGTCCCATATGCATTGATGAGAACCAGCAGTGTGCGGCTGAGCTTGCCCCTTGGCCTTCACACGGGATCCTGCGCCCCTAGTACATGAATGAGCGCTGGTTTCTACCTGGGGCCACCTCAACCCCCTCCCCTCCCTTGGCTGCAGAACCCTCCTCTGGGAGCCCCCCTGAGACCTGCTGTCCGCCCCTGACTAAGGGGCAGGCTGTGGTTTCCCGCATTTTGCTCTTAGGGGCCAACTTGCCTGGATAAGCATCTGTAGCACACCTTTCGAAGGCGCCACCCATGGCCAGCGAGTGAGGGTATCTTGAACGCTGATGGTATTGCCACCAAGGCTTCTGGGTTCAGGGTGCAAGCCTGGTGTCATGCCCTGGCTGCGCGGTGGGGCTGAGGTGGCTGGGATGGGTGGAGGCCCCTCTCAGTTTAGCCAAACTGTTGAGACGTGTGTAGAGCCCCTGTTGGTGGACAGAAAGGGATGCCCACTTCCTCCATCAGCAACGGCTCCTGGCACCACCGCCCACCCAGCGGATACAGGAGGGGTCAGGATAGAGGGCCAGGCTTGTCCCCCTTGGTGCACAACTCCCCGAGTCTGGGGACTTCGGCGCCATCTGTCCCCCCACAACTTGTGCTGGGGCCCGTGCTCCCGCTGGCTATGTGTCTGCAGGCTGGCCGGGATGGAGGACTCGGCCTGGGGCGACGAAGAGGAGGCGGAGCACAACTACTACAACAGCCTCCCGGGGAAGGAGCCGCCCCCGGGCGGGCTGGTGGACTCCAGGCTCGCCCTCACACAACCCTGTGCCCTGGGGGTCCTCGGCACCCTTGGCCAGGTCAGCCTCAGCACACCTCTGGGGAGGGGGGCCCAAGGGCCGAGTCCTGGGGCTCGACCCCTAGCTCTTCCTTCTGCTCCTCACCTCCGTGATCCTAGAGGAGGGTCTCTCCTGCCCCCTGCTCTTTCCTCCCTAAACTGTCCAGGCCTGCTGAGCCCTCTCTGGAAATAGCAGACAGGGTTCCCATCTCAGACACTGATACAATGACCACAGCCGTGACTGAATCAGGGCTTCTGAGGAGGGTGACCAGAATGTCCATGGGGGACTGACTGTTCCTGTCGGGAGGATGTCCCCGAGGGCAGAATTTGTGCTGGGCCAGGACAGGTCAATAGGAGTTGCCCCGGAGAGCAGTGCAGGGAAGGGCCTCCAGGTGTAAGGAACAGCCTGTGCGGGGGCCAGGCCTTCCAAGTGGGGCTGGGGGATGCGGCTGCAGCAGAGGCAGGTGGAGGCTTGTGGGTAGATTGAGTCCCAGGAGGGAGGGGTGGGTACAGAGCTGAGCTTGGAATCTGACTTACAGGAGGGTTGGGGTGGGCGATTGGGGGTCTGGGCCTGCATACTGCAGGAGGACCCCTTGCTCTCTTTTTCAGGGAGCCTCTCCTGCTCGAAGAGACGCCCGCGGCCTGCAGTGGGATGTGGGCCCCTCAGGTACCGTCCAGCACACTCTGCTTCAGTGTGCCTGAGTCCCCACCATCCCTCACATCGCTTACCCTCTTTGGGTCACTCCAGTCTGGCTGGTGAGATCGTGTCACTCCCTGGGCTCTTAGAGATTTGACAGCATCTGCTTTTTGTCTGTGTGACCAGTTTTCTTGCATGTTGGACAGAGACACTGCAGTTAGTGGTTCAAAGCACCAGCATATGAAAAGGCATCCACCGAAAAGTCAGTCCCCTGCCCCCATTTGCTTTATCCACCTCCCTGATCAGGTAACCACTGGTAGTAGTTTCCCTGGTTTTTCTAGAATTTTCATGCACGTTCAAGTCAGTTCAGACATATGTCGCTTTCTCAGGTTTTGACAGTAGTGTGCTCTCCATCCCATCACCTGGCTTTCCCAGGTAAGAGCCCATCTTGAACTCACCCCTGCACCAGTGCTAGGCAGCTGCCCCCCTCCTTTTTCACCACAGTGTAGTCTCCACCACGTGAAGGGCCCCCCTCGCCCACAGACATTTGGGCACTTTCTAGGGCTCTTCCAGGACAGCAGTGGCCCCCAGTTTTCCACCACTCAGCTGTGTTCAGGGTCTCAGTAGAGTCTGTGCCTAGGATAGCGGCCGCTGATCCATGTGATGGAAATCACAGAGCTGCCCCCCAGGTACCATGAGGTTTTAACAAAATGGTTGAGTTTTCAGCCCGTGAGCATTTTATCATGTTATACAACATTTAAAAAGACAGAGGAGGCTAAAATCCCCTTAGCTCCCAGCTCTGAGGTCTTGAGCTTACCCTCTGGCACCTGTGTGTCTCCTTTCAGCCCTTATGTGAATGGACCCCCACCCCCACCCCGCAAAGAAATGAGGACAGGCTGTGAGTACCCACAGTCTCTCAGGGGCTCTGGCTGCTTCAGTGGGATCTTCTGATGAATGGCCACATGCCAGTCCCCTGTCCCTGCAGTTGCTTGTCCACGTGGCCCCCTCTTGATCGGCGGCAGATGCCTCCTTGGCCCCCCTCATGTGTCCCTCCCACAGATGCTGAGCTGTAGACAGCATGCACACCTTCTTCACGGTAGGGGAAGCTGCCAGATGGCTCCCTGACGTGGTTGGGCAGTTTGTTTGCCCACCAGCCCTGCCGTGGCTGCCTGTTTCCTTACAGCCGTGCTGACATCTGTGTTGGGCTTTTTTTTAAAAAAAGATTTTCCCAAACAATCTGGGCATTTCACTGATGAGCATCAGAACCCTACTGCTCCCAGCACCTGTGGTTAAAGAACACATGTGGCATTGGGTGCCAAGTAGATGCCCAGCCATCATCTGGCCCTGGTCAGCTATTTCTCTGGGACACGGGCTGCTCACACCTGACTCCCCAAGCTCATTAACATTTCCTACCCCCTGAGCTTTTGCACACGAAGTTATTGTTTCATATCACAGTTTTCCCAAGTCTCTGACCAAGAACTCCTACCAATACATCAGTGCCCCAGCTCCAATGCCCAGGAATTTTCACTCTCTGGACCCCTGCAAGTGAGATTTCTTCTTTCCTATCCCACCATGACTGTACAAAGCTGGGAGAATCTGCACCTCCTCTGTGCAGACTGGGAAGGCTGGGCCAAGGCCCCTTTGCCCCCATCAACCACCCAGGGCTGTAATGATGTTAGCAATTTTATTGAATCATAACATCTGCCAGATGTTTTGGTCTTCACCCCTACTTGTGAAGAAGCTACTCCTGTTCTCCCCATTTAGCAGAGGAGGAGACTGAAGCACTGAGAGGTTACTCACCTGTCATGCCCACAGAGGGTGGAGCTGTGTGTGAGCCCAGTTGCCTATGAGGGTTAAGGATGTAACTGGTACAAGGCAGAGATTGTAGCTTCAGGCCCTTGGGTTGGATTTGGCCACATTGTACTAAAAGATCATCATTTTCCTGCCAAGAATTAAAAATGGAGATGTTTAGAAATAGATCTAGGGAAAAATACACAAATATCCTTGGAACCTAGGAAAAGATGCTCAACCTTGCTCAAAATAAGAGAAATGGAAATTAAAGTGCCCCTGGATGCGATTTTTCACCTATCAGGTCAGCACAAGTCCAACAGTCTGATAACACACGGTGGGTGAGGCCTTGAAGCTGGGCAGAGGCCAACTGCGGAGGACCCAGTAGAATCCCCACAGGGCACTGAGGGACCCCGGAAGAGACTCACCCAATGATACCAGTTTCACAAAATTGCAGCTTTTGAACCATTTAAATGCTTCACACATTCAAAACAAAATTAGAAAAGAACAGAAAGGAAACTCTAAAATAGAACACAAGCAAATGAATGACCTGACTGTGCCTCACTTGATAACATAATTACAGGGAGAGCAGAGTCTTATTGTTGTTACTTTTTAAATGTGGAGATTTAACATAAACATTGGGGTTTCTGCCTTCTTCCGTGGGACCCTATGGCTCTCCTGAGGGTAACCCAGATTCCTCTCCATGGGGGTCCCCAGTTTGACGGGAGGGGCTAGTTCGGATCCTGGAAGAATGTGATGGGGATACAGTGGGCTCTTCTCTATGGGACTCAGTCTGCAGGGTGGAAGTGCCTAGCTCCCTGTTTCTGGTTCTCTCCAGTCTGATGAGTGAGTTTAAGCTCCCTCTTCATGTGATCCATGATCTGAGAGAGGAGGCTCAAGCCCCTTCTGGCTTGTTGCCAGAAATCCCGGCCTGAGAAGGGAGGCCTGATCTAGCAGATGGTGGAGCCCCTCCCCCAGTCTGAGGGAGGGCTCCATCGGATGGAGGAGGTTTGTGTCCAGAACACTCTCCTTCTTTCCCACAATATCAAATGCCATCCTTTTTCACGAGCACTTTGGACGTGTTGGCTCCGTGCTGGCCCAGGCAGGGTCGTCTCCCACTCCCAGCACACCTCCCCAGGTGAGGTCTTTGAGGAACTCCCAAGCCAGCCGGAAATCCCTTCTTTAACAAAGTTTGCAAAGCCCCGCTCCCTCACTGCCTGATGATATGCTAGGCAGTGACATGAACCCCTGCTGTGGCCCCACTGGCTCCTCAGAGAAGTCTCAGATGGGAAAGGAGGTGCCCTAGGTGTGAGCTCCTGAGGCAGGCCGTCCACTTGGACTCCCAGCCAGGTGGTCCAGCAACCCTAGTGCGAAAAGGGATGCTTGTTGCCAGGCTCCCATTAGAAGTCCTGGGGCTGCCACAGATTTGCCCTCCTCGAGTCATGGTCTCACCTCCCCCAGCCAATCACTAGGCCAGGAGTGTGAGAGGCATATGCTGATTGGTCAGGACTGGTCACATGTCTTAGGCGCTGGAGGCTGGGTCAACCTCTTTCAGATCACACGAGAAGTCAGGGAGGAGGGATTCCCAAGGGACCATAAGAGAAGAAAGGCGTGTTGCAAAGCAAGCGAAGACACACCAGGGCAGGGATCAGGGCTGTCACTGCGCACTCCAGGGTGTCTGAGCTATGTGGTACCATCTCAGGGAGGGCCACACTGTTGCCTGCTGGGAGCCATAGGGAATTTGTGCAAACCATCAGGAGCTTTTCCATTAGAGTTTGGAAAAGAAAGGGACGCCTGTTGCCTACCAAAGAGGTGGCTCGTGTAGTGGAGGTCCTGGCCAGTGCAGTCAGAACGAGATGATGAAATGAGAGGCATAATAAACATTGGGAAGGAAGCCAGTGTAACAAGACAAGAAAAAAGAAATAGGTGTGCACATTGGGAAAAAAAAAAGAAATTCTCATTTTTTGCGTATGCTTAAAAAATTGAAGAGAATATATTGAGTTACTAATAGGACCAGTAAGGGGTGAAGGAGCAGGTCCCCGCAGCCCAGGCCCCTTACGCCCACACTGTCCCCGCCCGCAGGACCCTTCGAGGATGCCCTGAGGCTGCATGAGTGCTCTGTGGCGGCCGGCTCGGTGGCAGCCCCCCTTCCTGTGGAGGATCAGTGGCCCAGTCCCCCGACCCGCCGGGCCCCCATCGCCCCCACGGAGGAGCAGCTGCGTCAGGAGCCCTGGTACCATGGCCAGATGAGCCGTCGGGCGGCGGAGAAACTGCTTCGGGCAGATGGGGACTTCCTTGTGCGGGACAGCGTCACCAACCCCGGGCAGTACGTCCTCACCGGCATGCACGCGGGGCAGCCCAAGCACCTGCTGCTGGTGGACCCTGAGGGCGTGGTAAGGTGGGCTTGGGGGGCAGGGCGGGGGTGGGTGCTGAGGATTCAGGGGAGAGAGTGCAGAGATAGACCCGCAGGGGGCAGGTGTGGGGCAGGGCTGGAGGCTGCGTGTGGTGGGGGTGGGGAGGGGACTTGCGGGGCCATCGGGTCAGCGGGAAGGGCCCAGGCCTCTCTCCTCTGTCTGAGATCCAGGGCAGCCACATTCTAAGCACCCTTTAGGTTTAATAAAGCATTTTTCAGATTACAGGGCCTTTTATGTTTACAGATCCTATTTCCCTTTACCACGTACTTCAGAATTACAAAGTATTTTCCAGTTTTAGAGGACTTTTAGCTTTCACAAAGGATTTCCCAGTCTATAAAGCATTTGGAGGGGTTAGAGAACCTTTTCCAATCTCAAGGCCTTTCAGGACTTACAAAGTACCGTATTTCATCAACTGTAAGATGTACTTCCCCCCCACATTCTGTCATCCCTAATGCATCTTACAAACAGTGATGCCTTTGGGTGATAAATACAAGGCTGACTCACTGGAAAAGATCCTGATGCTGGGAAAGATTGAGGACAATAGGAGAAGGGGATGATAGAGGATGAGATGGTTGGATGGCATCACCGACTCAATGGACATAAGTTTCAGGAAGCTTTGGGAGATAGTGAAGGACAGGAAACCCTGGAGTGCTGCAGTTCATGGGGTCACAAACAGTCCGAGACTACTTAGAGACTAAACAACAACAACAGTTTATGTCATCTAGCTGAATCCTCCGCACCACCCTAGGGGCTGTGTGTGCGTGCCCTGAAAAGGGCACACTCCAGTGGCTACTATGCAGCCTCGCCCAGGTGGGACCATGGCTCCAGGCCCCTGTTCTGTCAGTTCCCTTCTCCACCTCCTCCCTCCTACCTAATCACACTGCTCACTGCTCTGTCTCCTGTCTGAAGTGGTGTTAACCTCCCGGGGCGGGGGGCGGGGGGGGGGTCTGTGTTGCATCCGGGTCTGCTGAGATTTTCTCAGCATTTTCTCAGCATTCTATGATGCAGGCGGTGTTTAGATTTGGTGGTTCTGAGTTTTGGATCTGTGTCCACAAGATTCCTGGGATGTGTTTGTTTCCTAGGACTGCCCTCCCAGTGACCACCCCCAGCTGGGCAGCTTCAAACCACAGAGATTTGTTCTGTCCCAGTTTTGGAGGTGGGACTTCTGACATCCAGGTGCTGGCTGGGCTGGTTCCTTCTGTGGCTCTGAGGGAGGATCTGGTTCAGGCCCCCCCCCTTACATGTGTTCCCCATCCTGAACCCCCCTCCCACCTCCCTCCCCATCCCATCCCTCTGGGTCATCCCAGTGCACCAGCCCTGAGTACTTCCTTCTTTTCTTATAAGGACACACAGGTTACTGGATTTGAGGTCACCTGAGTAATTCAAGGTGAACTCATCCTTTTTTACTCTTTTTCTAAAATTAATTTTTAACTGAAGTATAGTGGATTTACAATGTTCTGTTAATTTCTGTTGACCAGAAAAATGTCTCAGCTATACATATATATATACTTTTTTTTTTTCGTTTTTTTTAAAGGAATTTCTTTTCTTTCTTTTTCACTGCACTGGGTCTTCATTGTAGGTGTGCAGGCTTTCTCTCTCTAGTTATGGCGAGTAGGCTTCTCATTGCATGGCTTCTCTTGTTGTGGAGCATGGGCTCTAGGGTGTCTGGGCTTCAGTAGTTGTGGGACACAGCCTTAGATGTTCTGTGGCATATGGAATCTTAGTTCCTGGACCAGGGATTGAACCCATGTCTCCTGCATATTGGCAGGCAGGTTCTTAGCTAGGGAAGTTTCCATATATACATTTTAAAAAATACTCTTTTCCATAATGGTTTATCCTAGGACATTGAGTGCAGTTGCCTGTGCTCTATCTACAGTAGAACCTTGTTTATCCACCCTGCATATGATAGTTTGCATCTGCTAATGCCAGACTCCCAATCTGTCCCTCCCCCAACCTCATCCCCCTTGGCAACCACAGTCTGTTCTCTACATCTGTAACTCTGTTTCTGCTTTGTAAATAAGTTCATTTGTGTCATATTTTAGATTTCACATATAAATGATATCATGTGGTATTTGTCTCACTCCACTTAGTGTGATGATCTCTGGGTCCATCCATGTTTCCACAATTGGCACTACTTCATTCTTTATCATGATTGAATAGTATTCCATTTGTATATATGTACCACATTTTCTTTATCCTTCAAGATGCACTCATCTTAATCATATCTGTGTAGAGGCTTTTTCCAAATAAGGGCCCTTTCACAGGTTTCAGGGGTTAAGATGTGGACATATCTTTTTTTGGTGAGGGGGCACCATTCAATCCACTATAGGAAGCCACGGCCCCTGGGTGCTGGAGCTTTGGAGCCTGTGTCCACATGTAGTTCTGTGCCTGAAGTCTTTGACCCAGTGGTTTTCAGACTTGTGCATGAGCTACAGGAGGCATTGTGAAAACTCAATGCCCTGTCAGCGGGTCTAGGGTGGCCCAAGAGTTTGCCTCTCTGACCGGCTGGCTCTTCCAGTGGTGCTGATGCTGTGGCCTCTGGCCCCATAGGTACGGACGAAGGACGTGCTCTTTGAGAGCATCAGCCACCTGATCGACTATCACCTGCAGAACGGGCAGCCCATCGTAGCCGCTGAGAGTGAGCTGCACTTGCGAGGCGTTGTCAAGCGGGAGCCCTGAGCCAGGTGCGTCTGGCCCCAATGTGCCAGATTTTTTGCATCTTAAAAATTGACACGGGTGCACATGCTGCACACTTCACCCGTTTACAGGGCACAACTCAGTGGGTCTCCTCACACAACTGTGCCCCCTTCCCCATCTAATTCCAGAACACTGTATCACCCCCAAAGGAAACCCTGGCCCCATCAGCACTCACTCCCTGACTTGTTATGGTAACTCTGTGTTTAACTGGTGGTAAAAATCCCTCAGAGAGGCAGCGTTTGGCCACCTGGGAGGTGGGCCCAGTAGGGCTGGGTCCAGCAGGGCTGGCATTCGAGGTAAGGCAGGTAGGTGAGAAGGTCCACCTGGCTCATCAGTTCTGGAGCCTCAGACGTCTTGAGTCGGGGAGGGACAGACAGGCCTCATGGTTCTAGGGCATCTGGTGGGGGGCCTGGGATGAGGTGCCGGCCTGTCTAGGCTGGGAAGAGGCAGCTGAACTGGGGTGCAGAGGGGTCGAGGTACCAGGGCAGTCTGTGGGAGGAGGCAGAGGCAGGCTCTGGAGCAGGGGAAAGGGGCAGGGAGCTGGGAGCTGGGGGCTCAGCTCATGGAGGGAAACAGGCCGTGGAATTTCCCCAAAGGCTGAGAGGCCTTCTGGGCCAGGTTGGGCTGCTCTCCCGTCCCCATGACAACAGTCTCTTCCTGCCTCCTCCCCCAGTCAGCGCTGGCCTGCTCCCTGCCCCCAGCCAGGCCCGGCTGTAGGCAGAGACAGGGTTCCCAGCCTGGGGAAGGGCTCCAGGGATGGAGGTGGTCCTGTGGGTCATCTGAAATGATGTGCAGTGCCATGGACTCTGTATGTGCACATGCCAGGGTCTGACCTGTCCTTCTACACCCTGAGTTGTTTGTGACCCGAGAAATCACACCAATGGCAGTAATAATTGCTGCCAGTGCAGAAGTTGCTATGTTCTGGCCCCATGCTCAGACCCTCCCCACATCTGTACTGACTCCCATACAACTCCATAACAGGCACTGTTAACAATCTTCTCATTTTGTGGAAGAAGCAGCAGCACAGAGAGGTTGAGGGACTACCCTAGGTTACAGGGTAAGACCATGGAGGAGCTGGGACTTGAACCCTGGCCCTCCACCTGAGGCTTGTCACTGGGTCACTTTGCTGCCTTGTAACTGAGGTCTATGACACCTGAACCCAGGTCTCCTGTTGCTGTCTCCACTGACCCTTGACCTCTGCTTCACTTTCTTCCCCAGGTGATGGTTCTCAGCCTGTGGCTTCTGTCCCTGCTACCCAGATGCTCCTGTTGTGGCCTTAGGGGCCCCTCAGCCTTTCTCTGGACCCTGGTCAGGCCGGAACCGCCGCTGTCTCTCCTTCTCCACCTGGGTCTCTGGAGTCTTCCTTCTCTAGCTGGTCCTGGGGCTGGGATGGGTCAACCTGGCCAGGACACGGGGTGCATGACCCCTCTCTCTCACCCCCGCCTGGCGCCACCTTCACCTGGAGTGAAGATGTACGTACCAAAGACAGAACCTTTTCTCGCCTTTAAAGAAAATATATCGAAAAGCAGCCATCCACCTTGGAGCCTGGCCCAGGTCCCCGATGAGGCCAGAGGGCACCATTTTCCTTCCTGGAGGGTCATCAGCTCGCTTCCTGGGGAATGAAGGCCCCCAGCTCCCTGGCATGCAGATGGGCTCCCGTCCCTGCCGGGCTCAGATCTTCTACCTGAAAAATCGGCACATTGTTGTCTTTTGGGGGTAGAATTGAAGCGCTGTGGGTCCTCAGGCTGGGGCAGATGAGGGTGTTGAAGTAGGTGGCAGCCTTGGGCTGATGGGGTCATCTGGCAACTCCATGACCACTGACCCGGGAGGGGGTTGCTGTGAGGCCCCTCCCTCCTAGCTGTCAGCCTGGACTGGACGCTTGGAATCTGTTTGTAATTAAACCTGGGAATGACTGTGTGGCGCATGAGCCCTCCTGTGATCTACGAGGCCTCTCGGGGTGGGGACCCTCTCTGGGTAGATGTCATCGTGGGGCGGGGGTCCTCTAGAGGCAGGGGTCCTCTTAGGGCTGGGGTCTTCTCGGGGTGGGGGTCTTCTCTGTGTGGGTGTCATTTCAGAGCAGGGGTCCTCTCGGGGTGAGGCCCCTTTTGGGGTCAGGGTGTCCTCGGGGTGGGAACCCTCTCTGGGTGGGTGTCATCTCATGGTGGGGGTCCTCTAGAGGTGAGGGTCTGGGGTCCAGGGAAGCCAGGGCAGCACCAGATTTGGCCCCCCAGGGCTGGGGAGGAGAGAGCCAGGCCCTGGTATGCCCCTGCTGTGGGGAGAGAGTGGGGGGCAGAGTCCCCTGACGTTTCCCAGACCCTCGATTTTATCCCAAGAGAAAGCACACACCAGCTTCTCTGTTAAATATCCACCCTTCCCTTTGGAAACGCCTGAATTTGTCTCCCAAATGCTACAAACCTCTGGACTCAAGATACTCCAAATATCTGGCAAAACACTCCTTGTTTTCTCCAAATTGTTCCTGACTTGTTTGTCCTGAAGGATGGCCTGGCTTTTCAGCCTCCCAATGTTTCTCATCCTCGTTTCTTAAGAAGCACCCGGTTCTCACTCTAGCCCCTTTATTGACCTGAAAGCACCTACTTCTACCACACACCCAGCTTCCTGTGCTCACTCCGACTCTCTGCTCCTGACCTTTTCTCACATGATGTCTCCTTCCCAGGGAGACCCCCATCTCTCCCCAGGACCCTCCTCACAACCCTCCCACAAACATGGACCTTCCCTCCCAAGGGGGTACCAGTCTCACCGCTGGTTGGTGTCACATCTCTGCCCAGGTTCTGGTTCTGGGGAGGGGCTATGCTTTCTCTGCTGTCAGCAGGCCCTACTCCAGGCCTGGGGGGATCTGGTAAGGGTGTGGGGGAAGTAAAAGTCACTCTGTTCTGCCTGTAAGTAGGGTGGAAACGATCATAAGGCAGAGCAAGGGAGGGGACTCTGATGCCCTGTCTCTTACTTCAGAGATCTGGAGACAGAGCTACCAGTCTATCCATCCATCCATCTAATCACCCATCCGTCCATTCACCCTCCCGTTCATCCATCCATCCATCATTCACTCTTCCATTCATCCATCCATCCATCATCCATTCATTCACTCTTCCATTCATTCACCCATCCATCATCCATCTATCCATCCATCCATCCACTCACCTACCTCCATGTCCATCCATCTACTCATTCATCCATCTATCCTTCTGTTCACCCATTCACTTTTCCATCCATCGTTTATCAGTCCGTCCACCTGACCATCACATCCATCCCTCTAACCACCCATTCATCATTCATTCCACTCATTGGTCCATGAACCCACACCCCCATCCTCATATCCTTTAATCTTCCTTCATGACCTCCTCTTATTGACCAAAACCCCTGGTGGATAATGGAGGTGCAACATCATCAAGACAGACCCACTCTTGTGGAGTTTGCCAAAACCCATTCATCAGCAGGTCACCACTAAGTGTATGATGATAGCTGTGGGAAGAAATGCACCTCGGAACTTGGGGGTCCCTTTGTGGGGTTGGTCTGGAGGACGAGCAGGGAGGCCCTGAATGAGGAGGAGAGAGATCTGGCCCGAAGGGATGGCTTGTGCAAAGGCCCAAGGTGTGTAGAATGCAGCTTATTTGAGGGACAGAAGGATGGCTAGAGGTTCGAAGGGAGGTCAGATGGCAGTGGAGTTGGGGACACAGCTGGGTGCAGCCTGGTGCCAGGGAGAGCTGCCTAGGGCCTTTTAAGCACAGAGGTGGTAAGAGTCCCAAGTAGGAGCTGTACTGTGGGGACAAGATGGGGCGAAGAGGCGGCTGGGAGAAGGCACTGGGTAGTGGGTGGGGGGCTACTAAATAAACTCACTGCCTCCTCCCCAACCCAGCTGGGAGGACAGACCCCACCCCAGCGTGGCAAGGGCATGTGGAGAGTGAAACCACAGTACCAGGTCAGCCTGTCAGCGGGACACCTGAGCCGGTCAGCTTGCTGTCCTGGGCCCCTGTGCTGGCGCGGACAGTGGAGGAAGGTGCCTCACTGTGCTCGGCATTGCTCTTCCTACTGTAGCGCTCACTCATCCTGGGGGCCTGCAGGAGTAAGACCACCACCACTTTCCTCCTGGGCTCCAGGCCCAGCAGGGGCAATGTACATTAATAGAATAACTTCTTGGAATAACTGCGCTCATGAGAGTGGAAGCTGGGGTTCAGTGAGCTCTGTCTGGCTGCAATGTGAGGCAGGCAGGGCAGGCTTCCTGGAGGCGGCAGTGAGGTGATGTATTCATTGGTACCTGCCTCCTTTGTCAGCCTATGTGGCCACACCAGCGCTGCCCCTAGAACAAATGGGAGTGAGCTGGATGTTTGCTAGGTGGGCAAAGTTGAGAAAAGTCTCTTGAGGGAGCCTCATTTCCCCCATCTGGACAATGGGACTCTGAGCGCCACCTCACTCCAAGGTCAGATGGAAGAGCTGGAGGAGCTCCATCCAACTCCAGCTCAGCCTGCCCCTGTCCCCCTCGTGCTGTTAACCAGTGGCCACTCCAGACCAGCCTCCATCCAGCTCCAGCAGTGATGATTGGGACATGTCTGGAACATGGGTGGCTCCTGGGATATCGTAATTTAATAAGGTCCAGGCATTCCCTGCTGTGTGTTGGTCCTGCCAATAGGTTATCTTGCTGGACTGAGGATTGGTCAGTTGACCTTGTGTTGCAGAGGGGAAACTGAGGCTGGGAGGGAGGAAGCCATGAGCAAGCAGGGGGGCTGGGGCTGGCAGATCACAGGGTGGCATGTGGGATGCCCGCGGTTTCAGAGCTGCCATGCCTGGGCCTCCTTGCCCTTGACAGTTTCCCCACCTGCGAACTGCATGGGGGACTATCCTCTCATCCCAAATCACATTTTCCCTGTTACATTTTGTCACAGGAACCATCAAACCTACAGTTACTATTTACCTGTGTATTTCTGTACTGGTGTCCTCCTGTCCTCCTCCTTCCCCCTGGGACACATCACAAAGTTGACAGCTGCATCCAAGCCACAGCACTGTCCCCAGCGTCCAGTAGGTGCTCAATAAACCTCTCTCCATGAAATAAAGGAGCAGCACCCTGGCCGGCTCCCTGGGTGGCTGCACTGAGAGGACGGAGCGTCAGAGGCTAGTTCCGTATTTCTAGAAGGAAGACTTCACCTTCCTCATCTGCAAACTGGACACGGTCATGGACATATCCATTGGTGCTTGTGACAGTGAATTGGGGCGAGAATGTTAAGAGCCTGGCACTGAGAAAGTGCCCAATAATAAATTCAACTGCAGTTATTATTACTGCTATTCTTTTACTCGTCATCGTAAGTCTAGAAAGATACTCACCAGCGAAAAGGCCCGCAGACGACCTGCGGCAGAAGCCTGGGGTTTCCAGGGGCGCCAGCCAAGCGACCACCTGCCTGTCTCCCCGCTCAGTCCCGGGAGTCGCGGCGAGGCCCCCCGGTGTGGCCGCCGCGGGGGGCGGGGGGCGCTGCGCAGACGGCGCAGACGGTCCCCCGGCGGGCGAGGCGGGGGCGGCAGGCGGCCGTACTAGGAGGAATACGGCGGCGCGGCGGCCGGCTGGGCGGTTTCCCGCCGGTGAATGAGTCCGACTGCGCTGCCGCCGCCGCCGCCCGACCGAGGCTGCGCTCGCGTCCCCGCGCCCCCAGCCCTCGCGCCAAGACCCTGGCGTGTCCGCGGGTCAGCCAGCTTCGGCCCCCGCCCCCAGGCAGGTGAGTTCGGGTCTCGCCACGCTCCGCGGGGGCTGCTAGGACCCCCTACCCGCACCCCAATCCCCGCCGCTGGCCGAGTCCCGCGGGGCGGAGGATAGGGTGTTGAGGAGAGGGGTCGGCTCGCCGCGCCTCCACCCCCCAGACTCACCTCCTTTCCCATCCCCCACCCCGGATGCCCGGACCCTCAACCCGGGAGAAGCCACAGGTGGGTGGGAGTTTGAGGGGGGGCGGAGCTGGGACACCCAGGGGTCCGCCGGGCGACCAGGGGTGTCTTCCCTGTGCATTGAGAGCGGACCCCTTTAGAAAGCGCTTTGAGATCCTCAATACAGGGGTCGGGGCAAGAGTGGAGCTGCTGTCCCCTGGGGGCTTTCCTGGAGTCAGCGCCGCCCCCACCTCCCAGGCCCGGCTTCGGTGCTTGGAAGTTAAGCGCGATTCCTCCGGGGAGGGTAGACGAGGGGCGAGTCCACCCCGCCCCCGTGCTGGACCGCAGCGCCTCGTCACCCCCCTGGCCCCCACAGGGCTCCCCAGGCAGGTGCCGCGAGCCGTGCTTCCAGCCCCCGCGTGCAGGGGGGCCTGCGCTCCCGACCCCCGCTTCTCTTCCCAGGCTTCGCAGACCCCTCCTGGCTCCTGCCTGCGCCCCAATGAAGAAAACCAACATGTGGTTCTTGGAGAGGTTTCGGGGATCGGGGGAGAATGGAGCTGCGGGGGGCGAGGGCGGGGACAAGGCCGCCAAGGGGCCCCTGTACAGCAACGTGCTCACGCCGGACAAAATCCCGGACTTCTTCATACCCCCCAAGCTGCCCGCTGGCCCCTCCGAGCCCGAAGCGCAGGCCGAGCTGGGGCCCTCGACCTCGGAGCAGAACCTGGCCTCCGCCGCGCCCCGCCGCGCTCCCCGGAGCCCCCGGCTGCCCGCCAAGCTGGCCGCCGAGAGCAAGAGCCTACTGAAGGCGGCCACCCGGCACGTGATCCAGATCGAGAGCGCGGAGGACTGGCCGGCCGAGGAGACTGCCACCAACGCTGACCCCCAGGCCCAGGGGGCTATGTCGCTGCCCTCGGTGCCCAAGGCCCAGACGTCCTACGGCTTTGCCACGCTGGCCGAGAGCCCCCACACGCGGCGCAAAGAGTCCCTGTTCCACAGCGAGCACGGGGCTCTGGCCCAGGTGGGCTCCCCAGGCACCCGGCGCCGTCGGGGGGGC